CCCCCCCCTTTTTTTTTTTTTTTTTTTTTGTGGTACGCGGGCCTCTCACTGTTGTGGCCTCTCCCGTTGCGGAGCAAGGCTCCGGACGCGCAGGTTCAGCGGCCATTGCTTACAGGCCTAGCCGCTCCGCGGCATGTGGGATCTTCCCGGACCGAGGCATGAACCCGCGTCCACTGCATCGGCAGGCAGACTCTCAACCACTGCACCACTAGGGAAGCCCACCTCCCTGTCTTTTTAACAAGCAGCAGCAGCAAGCCATCTGCCTTGTCTGGCCTTCTGATATGTCTCTCCAGGACCCTGGCAGAGGCCTCCTCTCAGCCAGCTGGTTTGCCCTCCTCTAGGCCATCTTCCACAGCTAAGCTCTTTCAAGGTATTCATGATTGTTCCTATCTGGCCCACATCAGTAGCTACACCCAGCTGACTGCACCTCCAGCAGGCCCCCAAAACCTGAGACTCCAAACTTCCCTATGTGCAGGCATCATCTGGACCTCCACCCAGAACTCACTGCCCAGTTCATTAGCCTGGCAAATCCTTCCTCCCCTTCCTCTGCATTGTCTGATGCCCTGACTCCTCTAGGCCAAGCTCACCAGTGAAGCCTTTTGGGGAAAGAACTGGGAATCCAGGCAGAAGGAAGAGCATGTGCAAAAGCTTAGAGGTGTGAAAGACCAGGGAGAACTAGCTATAAGTTGGCTCAAAGCAGGAGAAAATACAGGAATCTTAAGATCAACTAAGGAGGAGTATCAAATGCCATATCAGAATTCTGTCTTGGTGGGTATTAGGTAGGGGAGTGAAGAGGTATGACCACATTTGCCTTTAGAAAGGTCACTGGTCCCCATGTAGCAACAGAGTGGAGGGGAGGGAGGATGGAGAAGGAAAACCAGGGAGGATATTGCAACCGTTCAAGTGAGAGAGGGTGGGGCTGAACTTCGGGGTGGTAGTGGTGGAGAGAAGTAGGCGGGTATTACAGAGATATTAGAGATAGAAGTGATGGGGATTAGTGGCTAGTGGGGGTGGGAAGGGCTTGGGAGGAGGCCAAGATGCCCCCAGTTACTTCCTGTGACTGTTATCTCCAGTGTCCATGTGTCCTCAGCCCCAGCAAGGGGCCCAGCATGGCCTCAGCTGTGCGTGCTGACAAGTTGGGATGCCCTGCAGCTCTTAGAGAGCTCTAAGGGCCCAGAGCCTTTGTGGCCTCATGTGGATGTGGAGGGAGCAGAGAAAGGGGAAGGACAGTCCACGCTCATGTAGGTTAGGTCCCCTGTATCTTTGGGGCAGTGACCGTTTGCCTGTCTCTCCACCCACCCTTCCATCCAGCCTCCCAGGCCCTGGTGAAGCCCCCTGATCCCCCACCCCAGGCTGAGTTGGGAGCTTTGGGGTCTTTTATAGGGGTCTTTCCCCTATAGGCTATAGCCCCACTAAGATATATTCAAAGCATCAGGGTCTTGAGGCCTGAAGGGGAGTGTCAAACAAATGTTTCATTCAAACAAAACAAAATTCCATCAGAATGGATTTTTCAAACAGCTCTTTCATGACAACTGTGTGACTTGTCAACTCAGTTAACCCTCTGATCGTTTATTTCCTTGTATTTCATTCGAGCCGAACCTAGGAATCTGCCTCTAGGATTCTACCACATAGAAATTCCAGCACAAGTTTTCAAGGAAGAATATTCATTGCAGCACTTTTTGTAATAGTGAAAAATTAGAAGGAAAAATAGCCTCAAAACTATCAATAGAAGAATGGATAAATTATGACACATCTGTACTGTGGAATACTATGCAACCATAGTGGCTCTCTGTATTTCACATGAAACATCTAGAAAATAGTGTTGAAAGCTTAAAATAAAGCAAGTTGTATGATATACCACTTTTATTTTAAAACCACATATTTATTTGGTTTTTGCATATGTATTTGTGCATATGTATTTGTGTATGTGTTTGTGACTAGCCCAGAAAAAGATCTGTGTATTTTACTGTATGTTTGTTATCTCTCAATAAAACATTTAAAAAACAAAGCCCAACATTTCCTGCAGAGGTCAGCGAGCTGCCCCAATTGGGGCTGAGGGCCCAGGCCTAGCACCCATCCTCCAAACTTTTGCCCCAGTGGGGAGCCCAGACTAGGGGTGGAAGGCACTCTGAGGAGACCCCATTTCTCCTTAGTGACAGTACTTCTGGGACCAGGTCTCTCCCAGGGTGTAGGATTCCCCACCCCCCCTCACACCAATCTCCCAGCCCAGCCACCCTCACCTCCATGTGGATGACTTCTGGGACCAGGTCTCTCCCAGGGTGTAGGATTCCCCACCCCCCCTCACACCAATCTCCCAGCCCAGCCACCCTCACCTCATCATGTGGATGGCCTCAGGGTCACTGGCAAAGCTGAAGGCATAGCCACTGGATGTGGTGCCGAAGTCGATGGCCACTACCACGGAGAAGGGGGCCTGCTGGGGGGCTCGGGCCTCAGGCTTCTGCAAGTGCAAGACCTAGTCAGGGAGCAGCCAGAGGGCCAGGCTGACTGTATGTGGGAGCCCTCCCAACCCCTGGCTGTGGTCCAGACAGGCACTGGCCCAACCCCACCTACCTGCCTGCCTGGCTTCCTTCCTCTCCTAAGCTCCAAGGTAAGCCCTTGAGATGTCAACTGTTCAGAAAGCCCAAGGCCTCTCAGGTAGCCCCATGAAGTTTTGGGCTTGAGCTCCTGCTTCCCTGCTTCTGGTTCTCTGCCCACCTTCTGCCTGGACTGCCTTTGCCCCACCCCCATCTCACACCATTTCACAGCCTGGGCCCAGCTGGGGGCAATTTTGCTGCTCTGAGCAGCTTCATAGCACATCGACCTGTGTATATTTGACCCTCTTGCTCTTTGTGGCCACAGTGACACAGCCAGACTCTATCCAGTTTTGTGACAGAGAAGAGAGGCCCCATGCACGTGCCCAAGAGTGGTTCCTGACTCCTCCCAGGCCAGGTCTGGGCTCCCTGAGAACAAGGGGGTCCCCAGGCTGAATCACTAGGGTGAGGCCACCCCATGTGGGGTGACCTAGGGAGCTTGGGGGTGGTGATTATGTCCTGGATACTTCAAGCTAGCCCCAAACTATTTTTTAGCAACATGTCTCCTCTTCCCTACATATACCTTGTATTAAGGTGGCTGTGGTTGACAGGAGGGGAAGCAAGTCTCGGAGGCCCAATGCTCTGAGAACACACAAAACTACTTGCTCAGAAATACACCTGCCCCAGGCAGGTTACGTGCAATGGTCCCTAGATGTTATCCTGGAGAGAGATCACCTCAGTAGAATTGTTACCCCTACAGTCCAAAGTCACCTAAGGCTAACCCATCAGGGGGAACATGAGTGGAGTGTGTAGGGGCAGGAAGCATGATGGCACCCCCAGCCCAGACCTGCCAGGGCTCTTCCAGACACCAGTGTGACCTTCCCCACTAACCAGGCCACCCACCACCCCAATCCCTGCTCTGGGCTTACTGGAGACTGTGAGGGTGTGAGGGGGGCAATGCCACAGCTTTCCTGGGTCCTTGGGGAGCCGGGTGGGCTGGGCACTGGAGACTGCTCTGGGCTGGAGCCTGCAAAGAGAGGGCAAATCACTCTGGCACAGTCAGGGTAAGGGGCTGGTGGCTGGGGCCCAAGCCTGGGGGATTCTCCATCAGTCATTGCTGGGCCAAGGTGAGGGGTACCCTGCTGGGGGAAGGGGATAAGGAAGGGAGGGTAGGAAGGACGGGACTGAGGTCGGGGTCGGGGATAGCTGGGCTCCGGGTCTGTTATCAGTTAGAGGCGACCTATTCCTGAAGGGTGACATACTTTACCTAGGGACTCACTGTCTCCCCCAGCACTCCTCAGACACAGCAGGGAAGGGGAGAGACAGAGAAGCATTGTGGGGGTGGGGAAGACTGAGTCCAGAGATAGAAGGGCAGGAGAGATGGGGCAGGTGAGCTCCTGGGGTGAGGGTGGAGAAACCAGAAAAGGTAGGGGACTACAGACCTAACTGAGTGGGAGTGGAGCCGCTCCTCTCCCCACTAAAGTGCAGCCACATGGTTCTAATCAGGACCTGAGGGAGTTGCCTCCCCATCTCCCTCTGCCCCACAAGGGCCATGGACAGGCCCAGCTGGCTGACTGGGGCAACACCTCCCCCAGTCCAGCCCTGAGCCGAGAGGTGTCCACCACACTAGGAAGTCAGATTCCAAGCCTCCCCTCCCCCATGATACACATAGACCTGGAGCCAGCGTTTGGGGGCAGGAGGCCCCCTTAAGACCCTCTCACAGGCCCAGGACTGAGCTGGACCTTTGGTGGGAGGAAGGAGTGCAGCCCCCAGAAGGCAGCCCAAAGCCTGGTTTGGAGGCTCTGGCAGCTCAGGGGGGCAGGAGGGCCTGCTTTGCTGGTGTGGGCTGGTGGCTTATCACCACCACACTGAACTTTGCTAAGGCCCCTGGGAGGGGCACTGGGGCTGCCCTGAGATCCGTGTGTGGGGACAGGGGTGCTGGCCAGGGAGATTGATGGGGTCTGGTATGAAGACACATTGGCAAATCAATGTCTGGCTTTAGGCTGAGCCAGGGCTGGGGCCTGTGTACTCGCTCAGCCACAGCTCTGTGGCCCTGACAAGTCCCAGCCCTCCCCAACCTTGGGGTACCCTGGGAATATATGTGAGGGGCCGGGCATGATTCTGGGAAGTGCCTGGACAGGGCTGGCATCTGTCTTGCAGTCCTGGAGGGGCAAGGACATGGTGGTCACACTCCCAGAGCCCCTTTTTCTCAGGTGGCCAGGGCAGGCTTGGGTCCTGTCACCAGCTCCAGCTTGAGGGGCCGAGTTGCTGTGGTTTGAGCCTGGGAAGGGAGTCAGGAAGGAAGCCCCAGCCCACCAGGTCTTTGTGAGTGGACTTCCTGAGGCGTGTCCGTCCTGCCTCCTGGCCTCCTACCCCTGCACAGAACCCAGAGCCTGCGCCCAGACCAGGCCAAAGGCAGATGCGCATGCACACAGAGTTCTGTGCAGACATACACGCCCTGTGCCCAGAGACCTGCCCATAGGCAGACACGCAGACACACACACACACACTCACATGCGTAGTCCTGTTACACTGACCCTCCTTGCGCACACACACTCACAGAACGGTGCTCAGGAGCCTCTGCTGGGCAAGGCACGTGGACAGACTAGGGGTGGGTCTGAGTGCCAGGGTGAGGGGGGCAGTGGGCCCTGGGCAGAGGTGAGGGGGTGGGTCTTACCGCTGTACAGCCCCTGCAGGCCCATCTCCGGGACACCCAGCATCTTTGTAGGTCCTGTGGCTGTGAACAGGAACAGACAAGCAGAATGGCATTTATTTGTTCCTTTGTTCCCTTACTGAATAATTGTTTATTTTATTTATTTACTTTTGGCTGGAGTCCTTTGAAGCAAATCCCAGGCATGTTGCTTGACCTATAAATTATTTAATGTCTCTCTAACAGAGATTTTTTAAAAGACATTGCCACAACACCACTATCATGTCTAACAAAATCAACAGTAATTCCTTAATTTCATCCAATGCTCAATCCTCCATCCCAGCTTGTCTCAAAAATGTCGGGTTTTTCTTTGGGCCACACTGCGTGGCTTGCAGGATTTTACTTCCCCGAGCAGGGATTGAACCCTGGCCCCCTGCAGTGGAAGTGAGGAAACCCAACCACTGGACTGCCAGGGAATTCCCTCAAAAATGTCTTTTTAACAGTTGCTTTGTTGGAACCAGGATGCTCCTAAGTGTTTTCAGGTGCCCACTCTCTGCCAGATGCTGTGGGACATCAGTGACCCAGAGAGACACTGTCCCTGTCCTGGGGGCCCACAGCCTGGTGGGGAAGCCATTCATAATCAGATAATCACGTAAGTGAATTTGAGATTACAAACAATGCTGTGAAGGATACTGTGAAGCAGGGCAGAAAAGGGAGCATGGCAAGGCTGGAGAGAGGGGTTGGGCTAGGCTCACCCTGCAGGCAGACCCTGGTGGACCCAATTTTAGATCTGGTTTTACATGAAAGGCAACAGCAAATCTTGAAAGGTTTCAAGTGGCAGAGTGAAGGCAGGGGCATGACTAAATCTGTGTTTTAAAAAGCCCCTCTGGCTGCATGGGAAGTGTAGATTGCAGTGGGATGACATGAAAACAGGAGCCAATAAGTGCTCCAGGCAACAGATGATGGTGGTGGCTGTGTGTCTTGAGACAGAAGTGTAGACATTTACGTTAGAGGTTAAAATCAACAAGCCTGATGGAAGATGGCTGGATTGGACATGGGAGGTTAGGAAGAAGAAGGTGCCAGGGATGACACTGCCTGATTCAAGCTAGGAGATGGGTGGTGAAATGGAGAATACTGGAGCAGGGCAGGCTGGCAGGGGGAAGGGGCAGTGTTCTGGGTGCAGTTTTGAAACTGCTGAGAGAACAGACTGAGGAGTCAGATGACATATGACCTAGAGGACAGGGAGAAATCTGAGGTGGAGATGCGTGTCTGGGAGTCATTGTCACAGGAGGCTTGGCAGAGAGTGGAGAGGGGGAAGGGAAGGGAGGAGAAGCTCTGAATAAAGGTTGACTGGAGGAAGGTTGGCTGGCCAGGGAGACGGAGTTGCCTGCTATGGTTTCATGAAGATCTTGATAAGAGAAGGCTGTGAAGCTAGACGCCTTCAGAGGTTTTTAGATGAGACTGGAAACACCTGTTTTTAATGGCATTTCAGTGGAATGATGGAGATGGGGCGGGAGTCAGGTAGGCCAGGAGGGAGCAGACAGTGAGAGAACGGAGTTAGCTAGCACTCCTCCAGCTAGCACCTGGAGGAACATAATGCTTGAGGAGGGGAGGACAGGTTTTTATTTTCTCTTCTAAGGTGGGAGGAACCTGAGCTTGTGTCTGTGAAGTTCTGAGGGCCAAGCTAGAGGCCTCGTCCTCCAGGTCATTGACAGCTTTGTTACTCAAAGCGTGGTATCAGGACAGCAGCACTGGGTCCCCTGGGAGCTTGTTAGATGTGCAGGCCCTCAGGCTCCGCCCCGGACCTGCTGAGTTAGTGCTTGCTTTTTCACAAGATCCCAGGTGGTTGGGAGCACCCTAAGGTTTGAGAAGGGCTTGTCAATGTATCCTGGCCCAGTCTTCAGATCACCAACGCTACTGTCCTCAGCAGTGAGCCTAAACAAGGGTGGGGGCAGCCCAGAGCCCACTCCCTCTCTGTAGCCAGTGGCCAGATCAGGAATTTTTGCTAACAGAACACAGCGGACACAGAGCTGGGCACTGTCACACCCCTACACACATGTGCACACACCCTTGCTCACACAGAATTCACACAACCCAGCCCCAGCATGGACAGACACTGAGACACATCCAGGATATTCCCCCATGGCCAGCACCACGGAGATTTCCAGACACATGCAGTCCTGCTGTCACTGGAGGTGCACAGGTGGATGTTCAGGAATTAGAATCAGGGGAGATACAGGGGCTGATCGTGGGCACTTGTACAGCAGCTGGATGATGCTGAGAAAAAGGAAAGTAAATGGTGGGGGTGGGTATGGGCCTTGAGAACCAGTGACAGGTGCCCAGTTCAGGGTGATGGAGTGTCGTGCTGGACGTGGATCCTACCAGCTCCCAAGAGCTGATTCTGTGCATCTCTTCTCAATTCTGCATTTATTGACATCACATTGATAGCTTGAAATCAGCCATGGTGATTCTACCATAGAAGTTGGTAAACTGCAAATTGGGTTTTTCTCCCTCTTGGGGAGCTGACTGAAAAACATCTACCAACACACTACTGGATCAAGCCCACAAGAGAGAATATGGCAGCCCTATTTATACATTGTTTTGATTCATCAGCAAAAACTTATTGACATTTCTTCCTGCCAGGTTCTGCAGCTAAGTGCTGGAGAAATGCTTTGCTGAATGAATGAATGGATTTTCTGAACCAAGGATATTGTATTTGGAGCAGAAACAATCTAGAACCACCAAGAAAAAAAGACTCAAGAGTTGTCACTCTAAGCTGATTCCACGTCCAAACCAATGTGTCTATAATCTCCCCAGCTCTGTGAACCTGGTCCAGTTATCTCCCATCTTTGAGCATGTGACACGGAATGCCCCTACACTCAGGGCTGACAAGGGCCTATTATGGCACCTGGCTGGAGTGCATCATGTTGCCTCTCTGTGCCTCAGTGCCCTTTCCTGTAAAATGGATCATGCAGGGGGCTTGTGAAGATCAAGTCCAAGAAAGGAAGGTGGCTGATAAAAAGGCAGGGAGTTCGACAGATTTGAGCAGTGTTCTTTCCCATCATGATGTGGATTCTGAATTTTCTCTTGTCAGAAGTTTTTGGTCTTATTGAGACTTTTATTCTAGTCATTCTGAGTTCTTTAGGGAGGGAGGGAGGCCCTAAATCAATTTGTGTTAAAGAAGGAGGATCCTGCTGATTCTCGGAGAGGTGGAGGTACAAGAGGGTGGCAGCCACACAAGCACGCACACATACCCCATATTTCTTTGGGACATCCCCCACCATGCATACACACCCACATACCAGAAACATGTAAGGAGAATGCTGATCATGGGACTCAGGACAACCTCAGCTACAAAAGCTATATCTGGGTGGGGCCTGCAGCTGGAAGTGGGGAGAGGTAGATCCCTGCCCCAGGGGCCCACTCATTTCAGACTGGTGATGCTTATGGGTTTGAGAATAATTGAGTGGGGCAGTTTGACTTACACAGAGAATAACTTCATTTCCTGGCTACAAGGGCAGGCTAAACCCTGGCCCCAGCCTGACCCCTACCCTACCCACAGACAGACCCTTAACCCTGCCTATGGTCTGTCCCTTAACCTTGCCCATGGACTGACCCCTAGCCCTTGGTCTCATATTGACCTCTCATCTTCAGCGTTACCCTGACCCCTGGCCCTGACTTCTACCCAATAGACATGACTGGGGACTAGGACACAGTGTGGCCAAGTAGGGACTTGAAACTGGAGACTCCCATCCCACAGTGTCCCCCAGACTCACAAAAGCCTAGGACTTTTCACCTGCCTACCCCCGCAGGCCTCCTTTTACCGGGACCCTGCCTCTCCCATCCACTGCTCTCTCAGCATCCTGCCAGTCAGCAGGCAAAGAGAGGCCACAGGCATTTCTCCCAAGCCAGAGACTGAGCCAATCAGGGCCCAAGGAACAGATCAGAAATGGCACCCAAAGGGCTGCCCCAGTCTGTCTCTGGAGAGGCACCCTCAAGGAGAGGGACCAGTGGGAGGTTGTGGGGTGAGGAAGCTGCCTTCTCCTGGCCTGAGGCAGGGAGTGATAGAAATGGCCTCCCAAGTTCCCTCCCTGTCCTCGACTTTTCTTTCTATACATCCTGCCCTGCCCCCATGGGTCCTCATCAAGGGAGCAGCCAGTTCACAAACAATCTCTGTCCCACACAGCCTAGGGCCTGAAGCCCCTCCCACCCTCTGCCCACTGTCCCTCATCACCTCTCTTACCTTCTGGGGATCCAGGGCTGTCTTCACTCTCCCAGGGAGTCCACATTTTAGAGCACCCTCCCTGTCAGTTTCACTCCCCCACACAAGCTAACTTTACAGCCTGGCTCCACTGGGATCCCACAGGGAGCCCTGACCCCACCCCACCTGGATTCCCAAGCTGGCCTCACAGAGAGAAACCAGAGGTCCCTGTTCATGAGGCCAGCCCACAGTCTGGCACTGTGCCACCCAACCACGCTTGAACTTTCTGGACCACAGGCCCTGGGAACTCCCCCTGCAGGCGTCCCCAAATACAAACACACTCAACCCCGGGGTCTCCACCTCTGGCCTAAGCACCGTGTCCTCCACAAACTGGCTCCCTGGAGGAGCCCCCAGCCCCACAGACACCCAGACACGGAAGTCTCTCGAGCCCCCCTCCCTTCCCCCAGATCCCCACCCTCCACAGGGGTGGGGTCCCAAAGCCCGGTTGTAGCCCTCCGTCGCTGCCCCAATTGTCTTACCGAACCCATAGCCCTGCTGGAGAGAGGGGCTTGCAGATCTGCCCCAGTCCTGTCCCCCTGGGTCAGGAAGTTTGTGGTGGGATCTCAGCCGCCAGCCCGCGATGAGACCGCAAACCTTGGCGTTTTCTCCTCTCTGGGAGCCCAGCGGTCCCCCGCCCAGAACTCACCTCTGCCCTGCCGACAGCTCGACCTGTGTCCAGACGCCTGGATCCTGGGCCCAAAGCCGGTGGGGCGGCTGTGCTCTGCCGCGTCGGCCAAAGCCCTCGACGTGCGCCCGGCCCCAGCCCGGCTCTCCGCCCCGCACCGCCCCCGCCCCTCTCCTCCCCTCCCCCTCCCCCAGGCCGGATGGCCGCGCCGCTGCCGCCGCCGCCGGGTGGGCCAGCGCTTCAGCCCAGATGTGCGAGGCCGGGGCGGGGCCTGCAGCACGGGCCTCCGCCGAGGGGCCCGGCCCGGCTCGAGTCCACCGCCCCTCCCTTTGCCCCTCCTGCGCCTCCCCCACTTCCCAGCCACCCGGGGGGCCGTGAGGGGAGAAGGGTGAGGAGACGAGGTGGAGGGAGGAGGGGAGGAATTTCAGGCCCTGGTAGGCCTCCTGCAGCCCGACTGCGAAGGGCTCCTCTGCCCACCCCAAGGCCACCTCGGGATTCAGCCTAAGGGGCCTAGCTGCCGAGAGGGAGGGCCCTGCCCAGACCCCTCCAGCCCCTGCCCCGGACTCTCGCAGTCCCTTCACCCAGACACCCCCACCCCACCCCCAAGATCCCGAGCTTGGTCTCCAAGGGTCAGAGAAGAGAGAAGAAGCCAGATTGAGGGTGAAGACAGGCCTTTAAGCCGCAGGCTGGGGCCTAGGTCTGTCCTTGCTGAAGTTTGGGGTAGGGAGGGAAGGGTTCTCACAGTTTGGGTCCCCACTCCTAGCAAAGGGATCACTCAGAACTCATCCTGCTTTGGCAAGGAGCACAGAGCTCCTTTCCTGTGAGGGTTCATGACCTTCTTCCTGTCCTAACCCATGCTTTCAAGGGGATTTGGGGACCTGGCCTCCAAACAGGAGTCATAGAGTGGAGATCTCCTTGCTAGGCCCCTCTAAGGCAGCTGACTTCCCATAATGCCCACCACCTCCTGATTCTGGCAGGGCCTGGGCCTGGCCCCTTTCTCTCTGCCCAGTGTGTTCCCACAAAGGCTTAGGCTGGGCACGGATAGGATAGGGCCAAGGGCTGCTTCTTAGCTTGTCTCTCTGTGTTAGGGGGCTGGCCTCCTGTATGTTCCCCCAGCCCCTTCCCCAAAGAAGGCTCCCACAGTTCTTTGGGCATCAGCTGCCCCTCCCACCCCAAACCTTGGCAGGGGCTATTGTCCCTCCCTGGAATACTTTCTATCCTCATCTCTGCCCATCTAAAAGGCTCCCCAGCTAAAGCGTCATCTCTCCTAGACTTTTTATTTATTTATTTTTATTTTTTAATTTAAAATTTTTTTTATTTATTCTTTTTTTTTTTTTTTGCGGTATGCGGGCCTCTCACTGCTGTGTCCTTTTCCATTGCGGAGCACAGGCTCCGGACGCGCAGGCTCCGGACGCGCAGGCTCCAGACACGCAGGCTCAGCAGCCATGGCTCACAGGCCCAGCCGCTCCGCAGCACGTGGGACCCTCCCGGACCGGGGCACGAACCCGCGTCCCCTGCACAGGCAGGCGGACTCTCAACCACTGCGCCACCAGGGAAGCCCCTATTCTTATTTTTTAATTTTTATTACTTATTTTTGGCTGCATTGGATCTTCGTTGCTGCAAGCGGGCTTTCTCTAGTTGTGGTGAGCAGGGGCTGCTCTTCGTTGCCATGTGCGGGCTTCTCATTGTGGTGGCTTCTCTTGTTGCAGAGCACGGGCTCTAGGTGTGTGGGCTTCAGTAGTTGTGGCACATGGGCTCAGTAGTTGTGGCACGCGGGCTCTAGGGTGTGCGGGCTTCAGTAGTTGTGGTGTGCGGGCTCTAGAGCGCAAGCTCAGTAGTTGTAGCGCAGGGGCTTAGTTGCTATGCGGCATGTGGGATCTTCCCGGACCAGGGCTTGAACCCATGTCCCCCACATTGGCAGGTGGATTCTTAACCACTGCGCCACCAGGGAAGTCCCTCTCCTAGACTTTTTGCCCTTATTGTCAGGGCCACTGCTCCAGATGGCTCCCTGCAATGAGACTGGGGGTGAGGGGTGTGCAGAACCAAACAATTTTGTATGTTCACACTGGCCAATAAGCCAGCAAGGTATCCAATCAGCAGCCTCCACTGGCTGTTCCAAATGTGTGTCTGTAAGAATGTGTGTATCTGTTGGTGTGTGTGTGTGTGTGTCTATGTGTATGAGTGTGTCTTTGCGTCTATGACTGTGTGCATATGTATGTCTGTGTCCATATGTGAGTGTGTCTCTTGGGATGTCTATGTGACAGTGTCTATGCCTGTCGGTGTGTCTGTATGTATTATATATGTGTGTCTCTGTATCTTATGTCTTTGTGTGTGTAAGTGTGTTTGTTGTATTTGTCTGTTTGTGTGTGACAAGTGTGTGATGGGGGCTGGCAGGCCTTCCTCTCATTCCAGAGGCGAGCAAAGCCGGGGAGGGTTGAAGTGTGGCTGGGCATTAGTGTATGGGGAAGGGGCAAAGGGTTCAGCCCCTCAAACACAACCTGCCTCTTGTTTTTCTTTCTCCTCCACCCCAGGTGTTCCTCCCTCCCCACCCCCAGCTCCACAGACTGGCTCATCTCTGAGGGCCACAGCAGCAGGCTCTGAGCAGGAGTGAAGAAGACTCGTGGGTGGGGAGGTCCCCAGCCCCTGGTACCCTTCTGTTTAGCAGCCTTCTGTTCCCCCCTATTTTAGGCCCCCTCAGTCTGACATAGGCATCACAGCCCCACCCTTGGGCAGCATCCAGTCAGACACAAGAGAAGGACATCGAACAATCCCAGTGAATCCTTGCCCCTGGGAGGTTTGATTCAACTTCCACCAGAAGATTTGGGCTGAGGTGGGCATGGACAAGGGTCCTCCAGAGGCCCTGCCCTTTGTCATCCTCCCTGTGCCCTTGCACCTCCCTCCTCTCCCCTCCATCGCTATGGGGACCCACCCACTGACCTCACCCGCTTCCTGCTTCTCCCCGGTGGGGGAGGAGAGAGGAAGGATCAGTTCCGAGTGTGTCCTTTCAGGAGCAGCCTCTCTCCAGGTCACGCTTTCCTCCTCTGGCCTGCACTCAGGATATCTCCCTCCTGTGGATGCCCTCGTTCCCAGCCCTGCCCCTCCAGTTCATCTCTATTGTGCAACTGGAGGGGACTTTAAAAAGTGCAAATCTGGTTCCATTGCTTCACCGCTCCTACACTCTCCATGACTCTCCATTACCTACAGCAGAAGAGCCAAGTGATCCAAGGCTTGGCTGACCTTGGGCTAATCCAGCCCTTGGCTGACCTCTCAAACTCCCCTTCCCAGCCCTAACCTCCAACCGCATCTGCTGCCCTTCAAGCCCAACTTGCCTTCTCTGCTTCTGAACCTTTGTTCCACCTGGGCCAGCCCCAGCCCTGCCTTGCTTGGCAGGCAGCACCTTTCCTCCCTTGGGCTCTTTAGGAGAAACTGGCCCCTGGGAACCTGTTGTGGGTGCTGTGTCTGCTCAAAGAGCCCCCAGCCCTGGTCACCACCAGGTGGGGCTTTTAGGAAAACTCTTTGGGTCTGGAAGGCAGGAGCAGTGCTCCTCTTGCTTGGTGCCTGACCCGCACACCAGCAGGCAGCATTAGGGCAGAGGGTGATATTTGTCTTTAGGACATGTCATTTTCCGCCTAAGCTTATGTGTTCTGTCTCCCCTCCCTCTTGCCCAAGTCCAGCTGCTTGCTCCATCCCAGAGCTCGGGGCAGGCAGACAGAGAGACACACAAACCACACCACACACACACACATACACACACACACACCTCACACATACACCAAGAGGAGGGCAGGTGTTCCTACAGCCTTCCTCGGGAGGAGAGGATGGACAGAAGTTTTTTTCCATCAGTAGACCCTGTTGACTGCACCTCGTGGTGTGCTGGTGCCTATTTGGGTAACTTACCTGCCACTTACGCTGCCACAACACCCTCGGTGGGGAGGGAATCTCCATTCTACAGAGGAGAAAGCTGAGGCTTAGAGAGAAGAGGGCACTGCCCATTTCAGACCCACTGCTGATTCAGGGCACAGATCGATTCAGTGGGCTGTCTCAGAGTCTGTGCTCTTGCAGGAGACTGATGAAGGGAAGATGGTACTTGGGCACCCAGACGCAGCCTTCCTGGATAGTTGTCCAGCCCTGCCTGCCCCTCCCTGGGGATGGAAGGTGGGTGGCTCCTGGGTCAGAGGCCTCTAGAGTGTTCCTCTACCAGATTCCTGAGGTTCGAGCTTCCTTCCAGGAATGACTCTGCCTGCCCCACCCAGCTGGACTTCCTCTCTGTGGCTCACAGCATCCATCTGCATCATTTTCCTCATTGGAGATGGGAGCGTGGGAGGCCCAGCCTGTGGCCAGGGGTTCAGGATGAGCCCTGGTGGTGCCCTGCCTCCGCTGTTGCATGGGCAGCTGGCACCTCCTCCTTCATAAAAAGAGAGCCCTGGGGTTCCACCTTCCTGCTG